CCACTGACCAACGAAGAGCGGGCAGAGGTCACGCGGTCCACCATCGGCCAAGCCGACAACCCCAGGTGGCATGAGGAACGGCGAGGGCGAATCACAGCATCAGTGTTTCCCAAAGTCATCAAGTGCGTGAAGCCAGAATATCTGGTGAAGGGAATTTTGTATCCCAGCCCAGACTCTGCAAGTGAGGCCATGCGCTACGGGAGGATGCACGAGGGCGACGCCGTTGCTGCCTACGAGCAACTCATGGGTGCGCAGGTTGACTGTTTGGAGGTGCACGAGATAGGGCTCCACATCCATCCTGTGTACAGCTTTGTGGCTGCCTCACCGGACCGCATCGTTACCAAGGATGGCGAAGAGGGCCTTTTGGAGGTGAAGTGCCCGTCATCTAAGGTGGGGCTAACACCTCTGGAGGCGTGCAAGCAGGACAAGAAGTTTTGCTGCGAGGAAGTTGGTGGAGAGATCCGCCTAAAGAAACGTCATGCCTACTACTACCAGGTTCAAGGTCAGATGGCTGTGACTGGACACAAGTGGTGCGACTTCGTTGTCTGGACCAACAACAAGACGGTCGCCCGCTCTACGCACACAGAGACCATCTTTTTCGACGAGAAGTTTGTCGAGGGTAAGCTCCTGCCAGGACTGCTGTACTTCGCTGAGCATGCCCTGTTTCCGGAAGTCCTGACTGGCCGCATCAGGCGACGAAGAGACCTCATCGCACTCGGCCAGTATGTCTCCTACAAGAAGTACTGCGCCGGCTTCTATGTGGTGGAGGATGGGCCTGGCCTCAAGAAGAAGCTGCGGAAGCTACAGTGAGGGACGTCTGCACCACGCTGTGGGCTTCCCGAATCAAAACGGCTCTTTTAAGAGCCACACATTTACGCACCTCGGATGGCATCATCTGTGCAGCAACTCCCGTGTCTCACCATGATACATTTATAGAAACAAGACACACTTCAACAAATGTCGAATATAAAGTGAAATGCCAGGTGTGCTGCTTAGGCTCACAAATTTTATTGCAAATATAGAAACTAAATTGTGGATGATCATGATTTAGTAAGAGTAGTTCTTTAGACTTGCACGATTCTAAAGGGGTCATGAATCAATTTTAATGTAAAAAGGATCTGCAGCTTCTATCCTTTATTTTGTCCACCTTAGTAAAAGATATAACACGCCCTCTTCCCTCGAAATGTCGCAAGTGCGCTGCGTAATCGCAAAGGGAAATATGGACTATTTGCCGACCTGCAGCCGCATACGGTGGCCACGGGTACCACGATGTGATGTTGCGGTGGGTGACAGTCGTGTGGGCACAGTGTACCGAGTTAAGAAGCTGACCAAGTATCTGCTCAATTTAAAGGATAACTCTGCTTCACTTCAGGCATATTGGGATTATGACTGATTCCAACTTGGAAAGTACTACGAAACGACATCATATAATTTGTTTCGAGAAATGTCAAATACTTTTTGCGCAATCTGGTTTTAAATATGAATCGAGACCGACCCCGAAACTTTGATACGGAAGAGGTCTACATTGTTTTCTCAAAAACAAAACTGAAGCGGAGTTGCCCTTACGAGGAATATTTATAAATGTTGTTGCTAAATGTAAAGAAATGGCGTCAGAAGTCTCGTATTATTGGCAAGCTTTTATTACACAACGTTTTAGAGGCGCCATCTACCTAAAGTACACAGAAGCGTCCCCTTCTTGCTGTTTAGCGTGGGAAGAGGGTTCGCTTTGCCGACTGGCTGCAGTGTTTCACTGTGACCAAAAAACTGAAAAGTTAAGAATGCTAATCCAAGGCAAGAGAGCCTGCTGTCGCTGGAGCAGAATGCTCACTGGGGGTGCCAAAGATAGAAAAAATCCGGAAGTCTGTGTCCCAGCAGTGCATCACTACGCATGTGACCCGGAAACTGGTGAAAGAGTTGAGGGGCACCACACACTCCAATCCTTTTCATTTTTCAAAATAAGAAGTAGCGCTCCTAGGCTAAAATGTCTTTTGGATCTTGATTACACTAGTGACAGTAACTGCCACAGTTATTTGTCCGAAAATAGTTTCGTGACCCCTTTAAATGTTGCAAATGTAACCACCTATCGGGTTTGTTAGGCAGGCTTTCAAATATGTGTTAACATTTATTACAACTATCTATGTTTTAGCAACTTAAATGCACTCATACAAGACCTGCATAGACAAAGCCACGAGTTTCACAAACTTCTCTGCAGCTCATAGCTGAAGGAGCACAAACTTCGAAATAACCATAACTACCATGACCGATGCGATCCATATCTGGCTAGTGTTGTACAGAAAATTATTGTGGTTTATTAACAATGCTTTAAACAGGCCCACATACTTCCCATGCTGCAGAAAAAAAGACTCGTATAGACCTCTCATCAAAACAGAATACTACTGGCAAAAGCATGCTTCATAAATTCACTGAAGGTTGCAATCGCCCAGACTGCATAATGAACAAGAGACAAACTGAGCTACCATACCACAAAGGCATGACCGCTCAATCCTCATTCCCAAAGAGGGAACCAGGATGGAACGGCTGTGACAACGGTCATTCAATACACACGGAGATATACATCCTTAAACAATAGACAGTGAGACCAGAGACCATCCTAAAGAAATGCTGCTGCAACAATCCAAATTAGAAAGATGTATAACCACAAAAACGCTAGAGACGATGAGACAAGAAGCCACCCAAGAGATGTTGCTACACTCTCCCTCTCCAAACCATAGAAAAGAAGTTTTGCTCCTTGCACAGCATTACCAACCTCCCATTGTGGTATATACGGTGGTCTTAATTTAACATCAGTTATTTGTTATTTCATTCAAAACATGCATGTCTCAAACATGAAAGGCATCGTAGCTTTACGTGACTACCAAATCCAGTACGGACTACCTCGACAGCAAATGACATGCGAAAGAAGCTTGTTTATCTGACAAGCCTAACGAAGACTTAAAGGGATACTTCAACGAAATTTGAAATATTCCCGTCCTGTTAAAAAATAGGTTGAATATGATCCATAATATCCGTAAATGACAATCGCACGTTTGTATTTTGAGCCTGGTGGCTGTATTTTTTGTTATAAACGGCCTACTCTGGCAAACACTCGGAGAAGGCCCTGCGGAGACCACGTGACATCCAACGCAATCGTGACGTAGGTCGTCTCGGGACGAGCAAAGCTACGGTGAGACTGACGTCGAGAGGATGGCCTAGTCGTTCCAGCCGCCGAAGCGGCTGCTTTTGTACGAATTTTGAGTGACGGGTTAATCTTCTGTAATCTTGTAGGGGGACAATAGCGACTTCTGCGACGCACAAAAGGCGTTCTCGGGAAGAGGGGAGTTCCTCCTTCCACTCTTCTTTCGTCGTGGCCGGAGGCGAGACAGCCTCCGTCACTAGCTGTCAAGGTTCCTAGACGAGCATTACATTTGAGGCATTAGAGACATCCACCAGGTGCTCTTTGCTAATCGTTTAATTCGTTTTAAAATTCCTTTTCGTGTCTTTTTTTAACAAGATATATGGATGTTCGATGTCATACTGCTCCTTTGAACACATATAGACCAAAAAATGAGCGCCAAAATTTCATTGTAGTATCCCTTTAACAGCCTTAGAGTGGGACAGTTTCGTACAACACTTTTAGTTCAACACCTAGCCAAAATTCTTGCTGGTAACCTTCCAGGGTGTCTACTTTTCTGGAAAACCTCAAATTGTCAGCGAATTGTGGTCATCTGCAGAAGTCAGGGAATTATCAGGGAAACTCAAAAAGATGGATAAATAAGGGAAAATGACCCGTGAAAGTGGCACAGCGTTGTGCACCGAAGGCCGACGGTTTGTGCATCCATTGCCCGAAGCATCACTAGCAAGCGCAAGCCACCATCTTCCAAAATGGGAGAGGGGACGCGGGACGTACCTTCCATTGCATTTCCAAGAAAAGTTGTCGCGGAGTATAGCGACATAGGGTTGCGGTCAGCAGGGAGGGTTAGGGGCACTGAATAAAGTAAAATAGAACGACGAGTTCGAATAGAGAATGAGAGGCCCACACTATGTCGGAGGCTTATTACAGAGAAGACGTCCTGCAATGGAGATTTCGGTTGCATGTCAAAAGATCTCCAGGTCGTCGACCCCCAAACTGACCATTCTTTTCATTGCTGTACAGAGGTATTCCGAACCACCGTCCTTGGTGCACGAGAGGCAACCTTTTAAAGCATTACAAACACTATACATCACGCTCGCAGGGGAGTGGAGAACAGCTGTGGCCGTGATCCAAAATATCAGATGAAATGTACGCAATAGCAAGGTACCCAGTCAAAACAAATTAAGTTTGTCATATTTATGACTTGCCGCCTACCTAAAAGAAGACGGAAGAAACCTAGGAGTAGGGTTCCGTATTTTCTCAAAAATCCGATAAAATCACACAAAAAAAAATCGCCGGTAAAACAGTTGGTGATTCGGATTTATCCAGAAAACTCAAAATTTTGAGACTGCCAGTTCTATGAACTCCAATGGCTTTTATATTTTCCGGATAACTTCGGCGTTTCTTTTTTTTTCTTTTTTAGTTTTAACTTTTGTACGCAAGCTCCACAGCAAAACTTTTTTGGCCCCTTGTCAACAAAACATGTCATCAAATCTCTACGACAATAATCGATTGTGGTGACATGTATAAAAAAAGACTGGACTAAATTCGCAAACTGCTGTTTTCTGCCTCTTATTCGCTGCATAAAAAAGACGAAAAAACTGAATTTTTATGTACCATAAGAGAAAGCTCCAAAAAACTGAATTTGTTTAAGATATAAACTCTGAAAAACAGCCTCTGAACTTGCTCAGAAATAAAACTCCAAAAATGCAGAACCCTACCTATGAGTAACTTCGAAGGGAGTGTAAGCTACTTGCAAAAAGTGTTGAAGTTTGAGTACTAAATAATGACTTTTTAACTGTAAGACACCAAGTTACTCTTAAAACCACGAACGGGACTGATTGTGGTTCTTTTTTTCTTATGAGCCAAACGCAGAAGCTGAAACCAAGCCAATTTTTCCCTAAACTTTGAGTATGCGTGGGTGTGCATTGTTTCCCAAAGCTATCCAACTGAGAAAGGGCATTTTACGTGATAAAATTCCACTCTAAAGACGTCAGCGCTCAAGGCTAAACTGACAAGCAATCATCCACATTTATGTTGGTTTCGCTTGAGGTGAATTTGGCTCATATAGAAAAAAAAGTCTCAATTTGATTGAGTAGTAGTGAAGTTACATAAAATAGTGGAAAAAAACCTAGCCAGAGGATTTTACAAAAACAAGGTTATTCTGAAATGTTCAACAAAGCAAATTTTGTCAGTCAAGTTCAATGCTATGCACCATGCTTAGCTACTTGGCACTGACCATTGGCATACGGAAGTTGCTTAGGAAGCAACAAACCTGAAACACCTGCTCAGCAATGTCCATCATTGTGATAGGAAATGGCCGATCGAGAATGTGAAATTGCTTCACCCTCCCGATCACGCGCTCCACGACCACCCGGGCGCTTGCCACCTGCCGGGTGTTTGCTACGTCTTGCTCAGGCATCTGAGGCTCGTGTGGCTGCCGGAAAGGCGGAATGTGCACTTGCACTCCAGGTGGCAGGTCATTAAATTTAAAACCCTTGTCCACCATGATGGCGTCCCCTGGCTGCAACTGCCCCATGAGCTCACTATCCTCGACGATCGTCCGGTCTGAGGCAGACCCACCCCAGAGCCCCGAGACGTAGCAAATGTACCCGTTGGGCGTACAGCCAACAATAGCCTTGTACGTGTTGTAATGCTTGTACGGAGAAAAGGTCTGCCTCTGAGCAAGCAAAGCCGATGGCTTCTGAGTGCGCACCTCAGTTGCATCAAGAACGATTCTCGTGTTGGGAAATTTGTGAAAAGAATCGGGGAGTTTTTTCCGAGTCTCCAGAACAGTTGGAAAATAGATCAGTGCCCTTAACTCTCGCCGAAGAAAGTTAATCCATGTCGTAAACACCTTACTAACATGCGCTTCAGTGATGTTGAAATTGCGGGAAAGTTCCCTGCCTGCCATCCCTGTCCTCAGCCGCACGAGGACCATGAAAAACTCATCCCTCAGGTCTAGTTTCCCTGTGCGGCGCTTCATCTCACCGTCTGTCTTGGTGTCTCCGTGCCAGTAGGTCATTCTGGCTGCCCGAGGTTCAAGAAACTTATATAGTTCGTCGAAGACAGAAAACTCGGGAAGCCCAGTGTAATACATGCAGCTTTTAGGATCCTCTATGATGGTCTCAACTCTCAGCTGTGTCGCCTGCAGTGCTTCAACAGTCTCTTGGAGGCGCTTATTCTCAGACTGAAGATGCAGCATCATCTGCTGCATTTTTGCCAGTTTCAGGTCTCGCAGCCTGAGTGCCTCGGAACTGACACCCGCTGTGGTCAGGGCCATCGCAGCGTCCTGCTCCATTTCTGTGAAGCAATTGCACATATATAAGTGAAGATCATGAAAGCCGATGTTGCCCAGTAACTCCTTGCAGATACAGCAACAGATATATACTTTGGGACCGTGTTACATGTAAAAAAAGAACTAGCCAACAGGGAACCAATAAAAAATTGCAGTGTCTTAGCTCGGCTATGCCAGGATCTATGTAGCGTAAGCTTAGGTTCAGCTGGTTATTCTTAAGGCCGTTCACACAGTTGCGTTCGGAGCGACCACTACGCTTACGAACGAATGCAACCGGTTGGAACGACAAGTTACCATAGCAACGAAGCGCCAAACGGTCGTTTTGTTCGTGTTCATTCGCAACGCAAGGAGTTGAGCCGGGCTGAACTTTTTCGTTACGTTGGGAAACGACGGGAGCGACAGACCAATCACAGATCGAGGAAAGCTCGGTCACGCGCTTTGCATGGACGGCGTGGTGAACGCTCATAGTGCCCCGTAAAAGCGCTATCATTGACTGTGAATTTTCGTCGTGTGCCGTTATGATAACCCAGCACAAGGGAAGATCCACCTACTCCGGCGGCGATCTCGTGGCGGCACTCTCAAGACAGCAGAAACGCCCGTGTCGTCGTGTTTGTTTACTTCGGCTACAGTGGTGCTTTCTTAGCATTCGTGTCCTCGAACATCGCCCGGATTTCTTTTTGGCGCATTCCATGCGTGTGCTCAAGATCAAGGTATTACTGGTGTGTACCGTATAAAGGATGTGAGTTTTCACGTGTTTTCATCACCCGAGAAAGGTGATTAGTGTTAACAACCCTGAACGCTCGCAACGTCTATCTGACCACGAAATTATATTTCTGCGTTGCTATATTGCCGCTAAAATTTTATTGTCTTTTATGATCGTAGAAAAGCTGTGTGGCGAGATTTGTATTGTTGGCAAAGTCGTGTATTAAAGTCGTGATTGTGCAAAACGGCGTACTGCATTTTTTTTTTAATGCGCTACCCTGCAAGCGTATCCTGAAAAAAAAAATAAAGTTTAGGTAATAGAAGACGATATGTCTATTTTCTGTTACGCAAGTGAGTGGCAGAGCGTCCCCTTCTTTTTAGAGGCACCGCTGAAACAGCTGACGGCGGCAGAGAGGCGGTCGCCATGCTGCCGACCCGCTGCGCTTGTGGCAGTGGTTGCAGGAGTGTACGCGCGGCGCAGAACGGTCACTCTGGTCACATTGGACGCAGTCGTGGATAACGGGTTCGTTGCAGATGTCTGAACCAGCCTTTACACAGCTATTGTAGCCGCACAGCAGATCTTCGTGACTGTTCGCCACAGTCGAAACCTCCGGCTGCTCCGGTGAGGAGTCTGAGGACCTCGCGTCGGGCACGAAACCGTCCGCCATGTTTTAAGCGTAGCTGGGTTGCTTACTATTGGCTAGGAGCAAGAGCTGAAGCTCGTTTCTCATTGGCTGTTGCTTCGTATGGTTGCATTCGGTTGCATCTGTGTGTACACATCACGCACAGTTGTCGTTGAAGTCACAGCGGTTGCATTCGTTTGTAAGCACAGTGGTCGCTCCGAACGCAAGTGTGTAAATGGGCCTTTAGCTTTTCTGGTTGTCTAGGATTAGCTTATGATGCTTACTACTACTTCAATGACACACACACGGTATATGCATTATGTGACTGCTTCAGGATACGATGATGTGCGCCGTGTTATGTATCAAACAACCAAGCTGCCGCCCAGAGCAACCGGACAGCGCAAGCCATGATCTCGAGTGGGTGGATGCGCGTGGCGCATGCATCGGGGACTGACATGTGTGACGTCACTGCTCCTTGTGCATGCGCAGCACGGCTCTCCAGGAGCCACGCGAAACTACTCAACCTCAGCCAGTGTAGCTTACGCTACAAAAACATTTGTGTAAGGCACGTCAGAATATTAGGCACAGGAGAAAATCGGCCCTCGTTAAGTCCTTACTTTGAACCCTTTTTCTTCACTTTAAGCCCATAGAAATTAATTGCGAAAAGACCTAAGCATGCACCGATATCACTACCGCCATGTCGTTCCCAACGAAGCCCTTTGTTTGAAGCCAGCAAAATCGGACGCCATTTCCCCGGGCGTCATCTGCTAAAATCAATGCTTGCCGAAGAAAGACGGTTAAGGGACACAGCAGCTCTGGGTAGTCGGAGCAAGTGAGGCTCACAAACAGGCCGCACTATGCACCACCACCCCCTGCTTCCCTCAAGGAATTGTAATCTAATCTCAGGCTCGAGCTTGTGTCCAGCTTCGTCGAAACCGTCAAAGGTTTAGAGCCAAGCCAGGCACGTGGCCAGGGCCCCCCCCCCCCCCATCCCCCAAAATCTACTGTTTTGCTGGGACCTCCTCTCCCCCCTCCCCCTCATACAGCATTTTATCATGGGCGGGCCCCTCCAAAACAGAATTCTGGCTACGTGCCTGAGCCAAGCTACTGTATAAAAAAAAAAGTCAAATTTGAGGGTTTTACGTGCCAAACCTACGAAGGGCATCTGGCACGCCCCAGCGGAGGACTGAGGATTAATTTCGACCACCTGGGGATCTTTTGACGTGCAACCGAAAGCTCGGTTACACGGCGCCTTCTCCGCAATAAGCCTACGTCATATTGCGGGCACCTCGGTCAGGATTCGAACCCGCCACCTGGGGACCCGTAGGCCGGCGCTCTCGCCTCGGAGCCACCGAGGCGGCTAGCTACTGTATCAAGGAAAGGCTGAAACAGGACCTTAAGTGTGTAATAGAATTCTCTATGAAAGCGTATGATTCCTGTCGGTCGTTCTACACCCATCGGCATCATCTGTCATGGTGTATGCCTAAACTCTGACAGTGCAATACTCCTACATACATAACAAAACTGCCCCCTTGCTTACATGAAGGGCACAAATGATTACACTGAGTCGCACATGCCACATTCTTACTTACACATAGGTTGCTGAACCCGTTTACATAGAGAGTATGCTGTAATAAAAGGCCAAGTACAGACAATTCACACCTTCGGGGGGTTGCTCTGAACATGAGGGCCCGCTAAACATCTCATCAGGTCCCCTGGAGGGCAGACTGGGGCGCACACTTTTGCCTGCCGTCATCATGGAGTCAGCGGGAGGCGAGGGCTGGCCCACCAGCTGCGAGGCTCCCAGCTGCGGGCTGGTGGGGACTGCAGCGTCCGTCGGAGCTGGATTGTTGTTCAAATATAACATCTATCTTGGTGACAAAACAAACAAGGCATGCATACGATTACGGCAAATCAGCTGCATCAGATAATTCACACCTTGGGGGGGTTGCTGCGAGCATCCTCCTTGTGCGAGCAAGGCAGCCACCGCTGTTGAGGGCTGGCCTGCCAGCTTTGAGGATCCCGGCTGCAGGCTGGTGGGGACTGCAGTGTCCGTCGGAGCTGGTTTGTTCAAAGATAACATCTGTCTTAGTGACAAAACAAACAAGGCATGCATACGATTACAGCAAATCAGCTGCATCAGATAATTCACACCTTGGGGGGGTTGCTGCGAGCATCCTCCTTGTGCGAGCAAGGCAGCCGCCGCTGTTGAGGGCTGGCCTGCCAGCTCTGAGGATCCCGGCTGCGGGCTGGTGGGGACTGCAGTGTCCCTCGGAGCTGGTTTGTTGTTCAAAGATAACATCTATCTTAGTGACAAAACAGACAAGGCATGCATACGATTACAGCAAATCAGCTGCATCCCCTGGAGAGACGTTTTTTTCTATTCTTAGATTTTGTGTCTGGTGCAGGCTACTTCAAGCCATGCACAGGGTCTCAAGTGTTACTGTGGGTACGACATGCTTTTGGACCGCTTTTTAAAAGACATTCAGAAAAGCTTGCACTGCGACTTTGGTTTTAGCTGTCGAAAAGTTGCAAGTCACAGTTTCTATAGTAAATGTCACGGAAAGCAGAAACGTTTCCTGCTTTCCGTGTAAAACGGAATAAACGGACAGCAAAAAACATTTTTCACAGAAATACAACCGCCTTTCGCGCTTCCTACTCCATCGGTCCGCAAATCATTACACATCAAAGAGCCGCCGTCAGGTAAAACAGCTAGCTTCAACGCACGAACGCGAAACGGCCAAGAAATAGCAAGAGTACAAAAACTCGCGTAAGTTTCAACTAACGTCACTTCGTACCTTCGGTGGACGCGCGATTTTTCCATCGCATGTAGCGAGCGAGAGGCGGCGGCTGTTTTCTGGCGTGCTCGAACACGGTCGGCACGAAGTCGGGGTGGTGCCTGTCCAGCGATGGTTTTCCTGTTTAACGAAGCAGCAATGTAACGATCACGCAACTTTCTATCGTCTTCTATTTGCACTTCTGAGGAGCGATTAAACGACTTACCAGTGACAAAGTGAGCGCCGCATAAACGGGATTGTTCACTTGGCTCCCAAGGCCTTTTTGGGTCTGTCCAGCGGGCCCTCTTCACCGCGCGAGTCCACGCCGCTCTACGATCAGGGTCGTACTTTGCCGACGGGAAACGGAAAAAGCTTTTCCCCTCCCCTGGCCTGTGCCAATTTCGGCACCCAAAGGCCACACAATTTGTTGGCATCGTAGTACAACCTCACCACAAGCCACAACTCGCCATTCACTCACAGCAAAATGGCGATGTTGTTTTCCTACCGGCCTAATTCGGCCTGGCAACATGTGCGCCGCGTACTCTCAAACCGGAATACCCGGAAAGAAGTGGATTAGAGCCTCCTTGCGAAGGCTGCTTTTT